CTGACGGAAAGTTTTTCCCCCTTCAGGGGTTTTTTCCTCAGCCGTACCTTATAGTCTCTTTACCGAAGAGGAAAAACGGAGGTCTATCTGAGATATCCATTACGATTCATATTCGTTTTTGTGGCTCATTCAATCAAGAAATGTTTGGAAAATCACGAAAGGCAAATTTCGCCATGCTATGCAAACGAAATTGCAAGAAAATGATTTGCTAACTATATCAAGATACCATGATAATTAACATATTGCGAGATATCAGGCAGTGACTTTTTGATATTCAAGATTCCCAAGATTTTAGAGGCATTTATTCCAATCACGGAACGTGGGAATAGAGCGCTGAAAGTTATTTCTGGTTAGTTTCCCTTTAGAAGCCAGACAATGTAAGCTGAGTGCTGTCCCATACCCAAATGAAAGAAATGAATAATAAAAAGTTAATCACTTTTTTAAAATAATATAACGTGTATATTTAATTTAAACGAAAATATAAAACTTATTTTTTTTATTTATTATATTGATTGCGTTCTAGTGTATTGGTGAATGAGTGTTTACGGAGTAGATTAAAACATTTTTATGCAATTTGTTATTTAGAATATGTGCAGGACTGGACACTAGTTCTGTGGTCAGAGGGAAAAGTTCTTAAGTCATTTTTTGGCGAAATTGGCCGAAACTACAAGTTACGTATCTATATTTTGATGTAAAATGACCGATTTAAAATGTTGCCTCCTTAACGACAAAAAATATGGCTTCGTACCACTCGTTAATAGCGGTTCAATACTAACTTTTGTTTTTTCCAAACTAAGATTTTTGACTTTAGAACTTTTACCCGATGACCACAGAATTCACTAAACTAAATTACTAGAACTCTCAAAATTAGAATTCTTTGATTAAAAGAGAGTCGGATGAATGAATTGTATTACGTGTAGTGCATTTATTAGAATTCTCCGGTGTATTTTTATACTTTTTTACAACAACGACGCGTAACTTCCGAGACAGTCGGTTAATTGAAGCACTAATAGTTTTAATACGGGTACTCCAATCAATTACCATCCAAATAAGAGGTTATCATGAAACAAATACACACTACTCACTTTGTTAGAATCCAACGAAATGGAGGTTATCAAAGGAGTCAAGAACGGATGATGACTGTTGGTATTGATATCTCATTAACTGTTTCTCTTAATGCAAACACTGATATCTAAAAGTATATAAGTTCAAGTGTTGACTCCCAAAAATTTCGATTTCCTCTCTTTGCATCATGTGTTGGAGGTAAGCAGACTATATATTGCCTTTCAAATCGATTTTGTATGATATTCTATATAATGTTCCAAACAAATATATTTAAATCATAGTTTTCGGTTTACCTTTAGGATTTGGAACATTTATTTATATAATATGTTAATAACTTTTGAGCGCTTGAACTTATTTATTAATAACTTTTGAGTGCATAAACTTATTTATTAATATAATAATACCTTTTGAGTGCTTTTTTCAATGCCCATAAAAATACTTTTGGTGCCCTTCAGGCTCTGTAGACCATTAGTATAGCTAAGATAGCATTACTTGTTGTATTGACAGATGAGTTGCCATCAAATGTAATTTCTTTATTTTCGTTCGTTTGTTCATTTATAAATACCCGCATCCCTTTTCCGATGATTCTCTATAAAACATTTCTAATTAATCGCCTTAATTCTTGCTTCCAACACTGATGTGTAGATATTTAAATTAAATTATTTCTTACTTTTATTTTCATCCCTATAAAAATTATTTTTCTCTTTTGAAAATTGTGGGCTCTTTTCATGACACGTGTCTTTTTTTAGTGTGATTTTGCATACAAACAATAAATTTAGATAAGTGAGCAAACGGAAATTCTTCAAGAACAGAATAGTTGCTGCACACAAAGTCCCTAAACAGAGCAAGTTAGGAATTTCCGTGGGACTATAGCTGTTTGAATGTTCTTCTGGAACAAACATTCAAACTGCTGTACTACCACTGGAAAGAATAAAATTGTATGCCACTATGCTATGAGAATCGAGTCTAATAAGTCATCACTGTCCCCAGGTAGCTCTAGTAAGCCACTGCAATCCCTTCGGCCGTAACGTGTAAGGGAGAAGGAATCTATTCTAACAAGGGACCTTGCAAAATATGCACGTCGAAATCTCCCATTATTTTCTTTGAATAGAAAGATATTCACTGTTTATACTTACTTATGCACTTCTCTGCCGTCACGCACTGGAAGTTACTGAAAAAATTCAGAACTTGGTTAGCATTAGCCGCGCTTTTTGTGCTACCGTCATGTACTTCCCTTGCTGCAGCGAGCATCATGACCGCGGACGACTCATGCAGTCTTATCATTGGCTCCTAGAGTATCTACTTTCCGGTGTTGTCTGAAACTTTGCTGGGTGAGAAACAGTTTTGGCGAACATTGTGTCCGGTAATTATTTATTTTATTTCTCAGTTAATTATGAGATATTACTCGCCATTACTACAATCGATTACTTTATACAATTAGTTGACACAAAGTTGAATGTATTATATACAGGCTAAGTAATCTATCCACCAATTAAAATTCACGATTACGCTGTTCGAATATTTGATTTCACCCTTTTTAGTGTTATATTTATATTTAATTTAAAAACTGCACCATTTTGGCACAAAACTAATCCTTATCATAGGCTCCCACTGACAATATTCTATTTTATGCGGCGCATTCGGCAAGGCAGCTTTGAGTGGCCCGAAGGCGATGATTGATTCATCGATTATAAAAATTTTAATCAACCAATCATTGGCTATTGAATCGCTCAGATCCATCTAGTCGAATAAAACAACGATAGTCACACGTTTTTTTTATTTTTTCTGTTTAATTAAACTACCAATATCAGTAAGGATTGTGTTATGAACTTAGTATGACGGTTTATCGGGTCGTATAACAAACGCAAACGACAGAACTCTCATACATTGATGTGTCAGTGACAAAATAATCGAAGGTTAGGAAACAATGTTAACTAAACTTGCGTTCCGCAGGCATTCTTTGACTCCCACCGGTTTTCTGTAACTCATTGTCAAAAAACTAGTTCCAGAAGAATAAAAGCGCTGTGCCGCGCGGCTTTGCGGACTTTTCAAGGGTGTGAGCAACGTCAGTAGCTTGCTGTTTAGCCGTCCTGAAAGGGAGCTTGTGCTCACAGGAGGCCTTGCTCCCTCGGTTCACATTCTTTCACAAACCCCGCACGAATAACGATTTGTATTGTGAAAAGTGTGGAGCTTTCGAATTGTTTTCCAGTAATTTCCAATGCGTGACGACAGTTAATTTTACACAGCATGAAGAGTGTATAGAAAAAATTAAGCAAAATTTCGACTTGTACCTACAGAAATGTCTCTTATAGAGGTCTCTTCTCCCATAACCGCAGTTACTTCGCTGGAGGGTCGCAATAATTTTTGGGGTAGGATTCCGTGATAGACCCTTCACACGTCGCCACCGCGGCGCGGTTCCGAACGCCACTGCTCATAGAAGAGCATTGGTTTGAATGGAGGTCTTCTCACGTGCGGCGGGCTCGCGCTGCTGCGACGTTCGGCGGCGGACCCTAGAAACGCAGGAGGGAATACCCGCCACCGCTACAGAACACAACTTTAGGACCCCTTCACACGACGCCACCGCTGCGCGTCGGCTCGTAGCAGATATCATTGGTTTGAATGGAGGTCTTCCGCTGAGCACAGCGGGCAGGCGCTGCTGTGACGTTCGGCGGAGAAACTTTGCCTCGAGAAGTGCAGGAGGGCGTACGGGCCACCGCTACAGAACACAACTTTAAATTGTGGTATTCCCACTACAGTGATAGTCACTGCGTTTTACCTCCTGCGGTCTATTTGTTCGTTGACGCCAGACGGTCTGCGAAATCTACTCTTGCAAGACCCTCCACTCCCTTCCGGTGGTGCGGCAATGGCGTGCAGCGGGGGCGGCGTGAGCTCTGCCGCTTGTCGAAAACGCGCCGCTGTGGCGACAATTCACGGGAATGAAGGGACCCCACGGGAGCCTTCCCACGTCGCGACGGCGGCGCGCTTCCGTCAAGCAGCAGTCCTTCCGACACCGACACCGCTGCAGCCACGGCCGCACCGCCGCCTGCCGTGGAAGGGGGTGGGTTCTGCAGGGGTAGGTTTCGCCGACCCTCCGGCGACGATGAACAAAGGGACCGCAGCAGGTGAAACGCAGCGACCGGCGGCATAGTGGGAAGACTACCATTTAAAGCTGTGTTCTGCTAGAAGTGGCGCGTACGCACTCCTCCGCTTCGCGTAGTGAGAGTTCTCCGCTGCTTGCCACAGCCGCCGTCGCACACGCCCGCTGCACGTGGGAAGGTCTTCATTCAAACTAATGCTCTGCTACGAGCCGCGACGCTCGGAAGCGTGCCGCCGTCGCGACGTCCCTGCTCCACAGGTGGCTGTCCTGTGTGAGCGCCCTTCTGCTGGCGTCGGCCGTGGCGGAGGCACAGCAGTGCGGCGGAGAGAGCGGGGCAGTGGCGGGCGGCGTGGGCGTGGGCGCGACGCGCCTGTGGCTGAGCGGCGACCACAACGCGACGGGCCACTGGACGGCGACCCTGCGCCTGGAGAAGGACAGCGCCGTGGGGCGGCAGGGCAGGCAGCGGCTGCAGCTGCAGCTGGAGCCCTCGAGCTGGCGCTGCGGCTCCACGCGCACCGACGCCCTGCAGCTCACCCTGCACAGTGAGAGCTCTCGCCCACGCGCGCTCCAACCCTCACGAAGTACAACCACCCAGCTAGAGACACGCCCACTCGCAACTCGTCCCTCGCCCTGCACAGTTAGAACACATGACAGTCGTGATAATTCCCTCAGCGTTGCAATTGCGAAGTACAACCATCCGACTAGAGCCACGCCCACACACAACTTGTTCCTCACCCTGCACAATGAGAGCACATGGCAAGCGCTATCCTTACCCACTACTTATACACCTGGGAAGTGAGATCACGCGCCTTTGCAAGGGAATTATTTAGCCTCAGCTATGCTTGAGCACTGCCGTTATCCTAATGTGCAAGGTAAGATGTTTTGCAACGTACACTCTACTGGCCAATGTTTCCGTGGTAAAATATATACTTCCGAATGGAATCTTTTAGGAATCACTGCAAAGTTTTGCCCATCTTCTTTCCTTATCACATCTCAGAAAGGTGGTCATAGCAGCAACAAACTGTCATTTGATCATTGTTATTGCGCCTTACTGAATGGCCCGTGTTCTTAAATGTCTCGTGTAGCCTATTTGTTGGGCTGCCGGCCAACGGTTGATGATGGATCGTTGGCTCGGTTTAATCTTAGGAGTCTCGTAAGATCTGTCGTAAATTTTCCTATAAGCGTTCGTTTCTTTCCATCTTGAGTCTCATACGTTATTGTCAAACGTCGGGAACCAAATGTATCGTCTTCAGTAGCATATGATTGTAAGTAGTTTGAACCTCGTGTAAATTTGGTAGATTCTTAGAATTTTTACCGTTAAACTCAAAAGTGTTTTCCTATTTATCAATGTTTGAGGGGGCATATATTTTCCTAACCGTGTTGCATATAATTACATCGAATTAACGGCAGCTGAGACCTTTAAGAGTATACACTTATTAGTTACGTTTCAGCATATCTGTTATCCTTAATCATCACATGAACGCAATAATGCGTTGTAGCTAACAGGAATAAGTCATATCTTCTTTTTATACTATACATTTTCTCCACAGATCAAAAATCTGCACTCGTAAAAAAAGAACCTTCGTCTTCATAAAATGCCTCGCCTACCAAATTGACTTTTTCCCCCTCCTTGTTGGCATCGGAATCTGTGTTAGTGTGTAACTTCAAAATTCAATGGTATTCGACGCTTCGCAGTATAATATTTCCAAAATATTTCCAAAATGTTATTATATTAGTAAAATTGTGATAATGTTGCAAGAATACATTAAGATAATGATTTAATTTTGTTAAATACTTCATTTTTTTAATTGTGCGAATACAGTACATTGCAGCAAAACACTTTAAATGAGAATCGTTTTGGATAAAAATTTTCATTTTTTATATATATTTTAAATTTTTTTCCCACGTCATTAACGTTTACGTTGTAAGTGTATTTTATAGCATCATCTTGTGGACACACAAATGCTTCGAATTGTCTTTAACGAAGTTTCTTGAATTTACAAATGTTTTCTTGTGAAAACGAACTAAAAATGTCACATTTTCTTAACACCTTATACTTTGTATGACATGTCAACTTGTATTTTCTCAAACAGGCTTCAATTTTTTGTTCCAAACATTTACATACGAAGAACATTCAGAAAATGATATTCTGAAAGTATGATTTCAACTACACTATTAAGGGACTCAACAAATAAGAAAATGTAAAAAAAATATTTATTTCATTTATTATATTCAATTTACCTACAAATACTACAGGAAAGAAAACTAAACCTTGTGCGAATTTAGACAATCTGTAAATATTATGTTCCACAATATTTTCTATGAAATTAGTTGTGTTAAACTCGTTTTCAATCATTTCAAGGAAAGAGCGAAAGAAACCTCCAAATATGCGTAAGAATCCAGTTAAATGTTAGTAAGACAGTTTCACACTGGGGGTGCATATTTTTTGGTACAATAAGGTCTATTTTACGTATGAAGTGGGTTTTAAAAGATACTTTGTAACTAAAATATAACTGTGCGGAGTTTCAATCAGTTTGACAAGGAGAATTTTGTACAACGGAAACAGATATCAGAAGTATTTTCAATAATTATCATTTTACATGACCGTAACAAACAGTTCGAGAGAGAGTGCCATTTACTAGTTCCCCTAGTGTTCGGAATTCTAGCGACCATATTCACTGCCCGATTGTGGCGACTGAAACCAGAACAAAATGTTTCCATCTATTTGGCCCTGAGACGTATCTCGCTTTGAATGACTTAACTTGATTGATTGATTACACCGTGTTCCGAGCGCGCCGCATTCCTAGCGCGTCAACTGTCAGTTATTAGACCCATAGGTGTATTGCGTGCTATAAGCAGGGACGTGGGAGTGATTCTTCCCCCCTTGGAACGTAGAATCCTGTGCCGACATAAACATCGGCTTGTGGAATTTCCTCTCCACCAGAGAGACTGCACCGCAGTCGGGACAAGCACACGAGTCATCGCGTACCGCTTGTGCGCGTGCAAGTGTTTAAAAGAGAGGAGGGTTCTAGGACGAACAAGAAATGATCGCTTGTGGCCCCTGGTCCGTTTGTTCGGGCATTGTTCAGAATTCGCGTTAAATTGATCTGAGAAACGACGGAAAACTACCGATGAAATCAGAAGACCAGTAGAATCCTCCTTCAGACAGTGGCTGAATCCGATATAGTTCCCTAGCTAGGATGGGAAATCAGTCAGGACTCGAACCCATGAACCTCCCGGTAAACGACACTGCTGCCTTTAATTTCGATTGCCTCCTCGGAGTTGTCTTGAGCGAATTCTCCGCGTGCGACATGCGCAGTGCCCCCTCCGCCGCCTGGGCCCGGCTACCACAAGTGGAAGGACGGCCTGTACAAGCTGCACTCTGACTTCGTCACGTGGGAGAAGGCGAACGCGACGTGCATAGCCGAAGGCGCCCACCTGCTCGTCCTCGACTCCAAAGAGGAGGCGGCGCACGCCCAGGACGTGATCGACCGCTTCCTCAACTCCTCCAGCTTCTTTCACGTCGGCTTCCACGACAAGCACAAGGAAGCCAACTACGTCACGGTCTTTGGTACGTACACAGGGCTAGCCTGCAATTGTGCTAGTTATTGGGATAATTCTTAAGCCATTCGAATAATGAAAGTATGTGGAGGTGTGTGTGTGTGAGAGAGAGCGTGCGCCAGAGCGTGCGCCAGAGCGTGCGCCAGAGCGTGAGCGAGGGCGTGTGCGAGGGCGTGCGCGAGTGTGAGTGTGTGCGAGTGTGTGCGAGTGTGAGTGTATGTGAGTGTGTGAGTGTGTGTGCGTGCGTATGTATGTATGTGCATGTGTGTGTGCATGTGTGTATGCATGCGTGAACGTGTGAATGCGTGCACGAGTGCGCGCGTGTGTGTATGTGTGTGTATGTGTGTGTGTGTGTGTAAGGAGGTACTGTGCGCAATGGGAATGTGTATTCACGTTGTAGAGTTAAGAGTATTGTCATGAAGGAAATTTTGGTTGCCAGAGTCGGGAAGTGTAATGTAATGTAGTTACATGAGCTACGTTCTTAGAATGTATAGAAGCGGGCAATTTCGTAGTCAGTTTTCTTCTGACAACGGAGTATTATGATGAAGAAACCCTTAAATAAACAAGCAGAATGCATTGCGAGGTCGTGGAGGCCACTTCGAAAGATTCTCAGTTTCTCAAAATGTGGCTTTGTGCAAATAATCCTACGTAAATTAGCGTACATTACTTCTATATACACGTTATACTACATATATTAGCAGCAGTAACTTCTAAGAAGGGATATTTCAACAGATGCAGGTCGAAATCTGGCCTGATTTTTTCTTTTGAAAGATATTCACTATTTAATATGTGCTGTGAAACAATTAGCAGCCTTACTGAAAGGAAATAAATAATTTGATTAATATTGTCGGCGCTGTTTTCGGTAATACCTCAGACAACCCTTGCTGCAGCGAGCAGTGTCACCGCGAACGGCTCACGTTATAGTGCCGTTGTTCGCTAGGATCTCCACTCGCCGGTTATTTCTAACAGTTCGCCGGGCAGAAAAGCAGAAGTTCATTTTTGGGATAATTGTGACCCTATGTACCAATCTATCAATTTATTTTGTTTATTTCTCAGTTACTAGGGATTAATCGCAATTAGTTTGACAATAGATTATTTTATACGATCTGTATATTATTTACAATTTACGATTTTACAGTTCATCTATTTCCATTAAATTTTAATTATTAAAATTTCTAATATTATATTCACATTATATTCTAAATTTGCTCAGTTCGGTCTTAGGGTCAAAATAAATGAAGGTGGGCAATCAATGTTAACTGTACTTGCACGCCGCGGGCATTTCTGAATGTCGAAGAACTGGAGCCCGGAAGAATAGGAGTTGCGTCTCGCAGCATTGCAAGCTTGTCAAGGGCGTGAGCAATGTCATTAGTTTAGTGTTTCGCTACCCTGAGTTGCTTGATAGAAGCGCTTTATACCTCGGCGGAGATCCTCTCGCAATATTCAATTCTGCACGAATCTTGCGCAAACGACAATGTGCGACGTCAAAAATGAGAAAGTGTTGTATTTTTCTCCAATAACTTCCAGGGCGCGATGGCAGCTATTTTTTTACAGTCCAATTATAGACGAAAAGGAGGCCAGATTTCGACCTGCACATGTTGAAGAGTTTCTTTAAGTGGTTAAGAAGTTGTACCTAGTAAACTGTAAGAAATTCGTGAAAGAAAGTCTTGAAATTAAATTGCTATTTTTTTGTTATCGAGAAAGACCTTTATTTCTCAAAGAAGAAAAGTTTACTATACCGTAACTGTAACGTTTTGATGATTGAGTCGTTAAACTTAAGTATGCATGTCTAGGCATGAATGTACGTTTTCAAAATGTGCAGCGTGTCCGGAAACAAATTTCCCGTTACAAAAATATACCCCAGATCCTATGCTGACTTTCATCAAGTACGGCAAATCCAGGTTTCGCAAAAAAAAGGCCTCCGAGGAAATAGAGATTAAAAGTTAGTTCGGGACGCGAAATTCAAACCGGCCACCGCGTCATGCAGACACCGGCGCGGCGTCTGCCAAGGGGGCTGGGCGAAGCGGCGTTTCTTCGCGTTGTCGGTGAAGCTGACGAGTGAGGCAAACAACACTCACAACGAAACGTTGCAATTTTCAGCCTTGCGGGAGAAGCGAGAAATTCGGAGACCGCTCTGTTTTCAATAACAGGTTTTCACATGTTTTCAAATTTCATAGGTATTGCAAGGAAATAAGACAAACAACACACGCTACTGACGTATTTGGACACGTTCGCAGATAAGGCAATAGAACAAAATTCAAAAACATTATATGCAATAATTATGCAATGATACTTTTTAACAAAAGAACCTTAATAACATTAAAAATGTAATGATTTACGGTCGAATTTCGATCACATCTATAATAAAATCTTATTATGCGATCGAGCTAAGTGGGGAGGGTAAAATTATGAATTAAGGATTACACCCCCCTTACAGCATACAACAGAGTGGTCGAAAACTCCATTATTTACATGCTTCTAACATGTGAGAATCGGTTGTTCCTTTCATGAGCTATAATATACCACACTTATTTGTTTTCCTCGCATACTTTTTATTTCACAAATACGTTCGTATGAAGCCACTATTACCGTATCAGTGGTAATATTGGTGTTGTGAGAAACGTCTAAAATGTAAGTTTTTTTCACTTTCTTTTTCTTTACAGGAAAGCCGTTGGCAAACACGGGTTTTCATCAATGGTGCCCAGGAGAACCTTCAGGAGGCAGTCCTGAAGGCTTGGAACATTGTGGATCAATTAAGACAATTAATAATGCGGTGTGTCTCAACGACATCACTTGCAATGTATTCGAAGCGCCCTTCTTCTGCGAATATTAATTAGTAACCTTAGGCCTACGTCACACGAGCGTTGCGTTGACGCTCGTTAAGAAATGTGCGTCGTAGATTAACACTATCGTATGCGGAACGGTCAAAGGGCTTGTGTGCAGTTTAGCGTAAGACAGTGTTATTCAACGTTATGTAACGCGCATCAACACAACTCTCGTGTGCAGAGATCATTAGACGTGGGCATGAGGGGGGCGGGGGCCGTGCGCCCCCTCCCAAAGAATTTCGAAAATGGCCCTGTACTCCTACAAAATAAAATAATATATTTCTATAAATATGATCAATTCCGATTTTTTTTTCCTTTTTAAGCTGATAATTTGTGGAATTGATATGTATTTAGGTAAGAGGATCTCCAAACCATCTAACAATTCTCTAAATGGATCAGCATCAAATTAAATGTATTTAATTGTGTCATTAAAAATATAATTTTAGTTTCCTTGTAGGATGTTTTATTTATTTCCTAGAAAAAATCTCTTATGGTCGAGGTGGCTAAGAGTGCGTACCGTCTCGTTTCGGTCCGAAGGGTCGCAGGTTGAGCCCTGAATTGGGCAGGGTTGTTTGTTTCTTGTTATCTCATGTATGAGTTGTTGCAAAGAGTCTCGCGTTCTGCTGACCCCAGATCAGAGGAGCCCGCAAGTGTGTTGGTGTCTAGTGTAAGGAGAATATGCGTCCCATCAGGACGTACAGAGCAATCGACTGTGGCTGAATAAAAGTCCTACGAAAAAAAAATTCCATACGGAAAAAAAAAATTAAGGGAAAATGAAGCTCAGAGGGATCCTCCCTCTAAGGGAAACTGTTTCCCTCAGAGGGAAACGTAATTCCTCCCCCTCTTGTTTTAAGCTGCGCATACATACACATGGAGTAAATTCTTATAAAATATACTGTAAAGAAATCATTCGATATTCAGAATTGTACTTTATTTCCATCCAAGAAATGTTTCAAAAAATAGTTTACTCTACGTATATAAATAAGTATTGAGACATGACATCATTGGGAAAACAAAAGAAGTTATATTATAATGCAATAGTGAGGGGACAGAATAGCATCGAACATGTTAAATAAACAATGTAACAAGTCATAGTCGATTGAAAGAAGATTAACTTGAACTAAAAAAATTCCACAGAACGTACTGTGTCTCGGGAGGAGGCGTATGTAAGGCCGCGAGGAGGAGTTTTTCACAAAGTTAACTTTTATTTCGGAAAAGTACGGAAGTACAAATGCGCGACGGAGATGTAGAATGATAATTATTTGTGTGGACATTTTTATTAACTGAATAGTGCAAACACGTATTTAGAAGTAAAAATAATTCATGTTGTACAGTTATCACACCGAAGAGTATTCGTATGACGAAAGTTATAAAACTGTAAGTGTGGATGCTGCAAAATGGAATTTTGAGTGTGGTGGCAGCCGCGATGACACGTGAGGTGAAGTTTTGAGGCAGCGCCAAGAGAGCCGATTCCGCTGGAAGGGAAGTGCTCGACATTTTAGTAAGATGTACAAGGCCAAGAATGTAAAATTTAAGAAAGGACCTCTAAGTGTCCATTAATTTTAATTAAAGTAATGTTGGTCATTACATAAATATCATTATTCAATTATTCATTATCTAAACAGAGATATTTAAGATATTAAAAACAAACACAAATAGTTAGATTTAAAGATAAGAGATCCTGGTCGACCAAGGCAACGATTGAGTGAAGCCGGATCAGGTCTTCTGGCCTAAACCGTGGAAGGAAGAAGAAAAAACAGTTACAGTGGATGTTTTACGTTGCACTTACGTTTTACGTTACACCTATTAAGAAACAATTGTTGTTATTTTGTAATAATGTTTGCATGATAAAAAACACCAGCTTCAGTTTTTCCTAAGTTTACAAACACGAGCTAGCCAAAATTATATTTAAATAATGACGTAATAAGAACGAAGAAATGAATTGATATTAAGAATTTATAAATATATAAATTAAAGAATTGAAATATTCCAGTATTCCTCTTTTCACTAAATAAAAGTTATTAATAAAACAGTTAATTAACTTATAGGGTCCATCTGAAATATTCCCAAAACGGTTAAAGATAGTGAGATGAAATTCTCATCAAATAATTCAAGATACAGGGTCTCATCAGTAGTAGTTATTATATTTTTAACTTTTTTTATTTTAATGATGTTGGCTCAACTACCTCTTTAAACAGAAGACTATACTTTTTTCCACACAAATGGATAGATTTTGAGGAGACAAATTCTACAATCCCACATATGGGCTGAACGTGGCGTAAACAATTCTTTAAACTGTTTTAAAATTATTTCATTTGTTGAAATTATCTTCAACCCAAGTTCTGAATAAAAATAAGCTTAAATAGACTGTTGGCTGTTTCTTCATCCTCGAGCGTAGTGCGTACAAAATTAAATATTAGGAATTAAATAATAAAAAATTAGAAGAGTTGTGTAATCGCGGCTCTTCTTGCCGGATGTTCTTTTAGGCTATGACCCCAACCACTTCAGAATACGATGTTCGAGGACCTAATACTGTATTTTTGTGATTGAAATTTTTCTACAAAAAGGTATTATTCCATTATCATTCTCGTACAAGTTACACAACAAAAATTATCCTATAAAATTATAATTATCCTACGAGATGGAAAAACTCACGAAGAAACTATTCCTTCCGAGTAACCTAGCAAGCCCTGCACGGCGTACTGTAAACCGCAGCGTCGGGCATTTCAACCTCCAGCAACTTGTGTCATTCATAGCCTGAGTGCCGTGGGCCGCTGACTTACTGGTGTGGCGTCATACAGGTGCAATCGAACACAGACGAGAGTGGTTTGTAGAACAGTAGATTTATTAACAATCTAGACCGTTGTCTCAATTTAACAACTACCCTGCTCACAATAAACTAATAAATATACCCAATACAAGGAAAGATAATTTAAGAACGGCTTCCACACCGCAACATACCACCGATGTTCCCTGTATGAAGCCGCTCTACTTTGAGACCATCTACGCGTCTCACAAGTCACAACAATGAATTGCCGGCCCCTCGCCCTAGTGCACCTACAAGCACCGACACGCGCTTCACCTGTCGCCGACGCCGCTAGCACAAGAAGACTGGGGCATTGTTCTCCTAGCCTTATATAGGCCCTTTGGGCTGTACCCGCCGCCCACATTGCCTCCTCTCCAAAGCCGCTCTGGGCCCGCTACGTCCACGGAAAGTACCAGTGCGTCATCACTCCGTCCTTTGTTTAACATCCGGCGATGCTTCGCCGATTTCCACGTGGTTGTCTGTTCTGAGCGTGGCACGGCGCTACACTGGCGTCACCTTTACCTTTCATCACAGATGCATTGCAAATCCCTTTGCAACGTCGGATGCGATTTTGATCAAAAGGTTCAAAGGTTGACAGCCGAGGAAGAGCGCCAGACAGAACAACTTCGTTCCCATAAATTCTTAGTTTCCAACAGTGGTCTTGCAATTTATTCATATTACTTGACCCTTCTTCTCACATTCAAAAATACCCTACACTTAATTGCTTGCCTTGGTAGCAAATATACACAAATATACAAAAAAAATACAGTAAATATTGTACAAGGCTTTATAAAATACTTATTAAACAAACTAAAATTCTTAACTTACAATTAAGTCAGACTTTATCGTAATGTTTGGGTTATTTGGCATATGATATTGCCATGTCTTAATAATCAAATCTTCATTTAATGTTTAAAAATATTCGAAAGAGTATTATTTGTTAATGTATATAATAATTCATTGACAAGAGTACTTTGAAATAAATGTATGTTTCCTGATATTAAGTGTAATTATTGTCAATTTTATGAATAATAATCTAATGATTCATGCTGTTCCGGAAAGGCAGTCATTGTAGTAATTCACACTGTTTCACCACCGACGGTGCCTTTAAAACACATCAAAATCATGATTTTCTAGTTGTGTTTCAGAATGTACTCAAATTATCTGCCTAAAAACAATGCCAATCGATTTTCCTCATTGAGAAGAATCAAATGAGCTATTGATCACCTCTACATGCCGTAAGTTTCACACAACACGTTGACTAAGAAAACACAAACTAACGTTTTTGAAGATATTTCTTAGAATCTTCTGGATGGATCCAAAAACAAATCATTAGTTTCCAAGAGACAGATGTGTCGAATGGCACTTGTTTGGATTGGTGGACGGGTCTAATCAAGACTGATTGACTGAAGGACGCACGGACACCTGGTCGCAGATAATTCAAATACCATGCAAATTGTATGTATTGTATGTACGCATGCATGCATGTAGTAGGTATTTGACGAATACTTATAAACATAAATGAGTTATAAAATTCACCGTTATATCACGTTTGAAAGTTCGCAATGGCTGGATTTCTGAACGGTTCCACGACGTCTACTGTTCGCCGGTAAACACTTGAGTACGATGTCTAACGCTTGTTGTCACATCGACACTGAAGATTGAAATTACTGCTCCCGCTCTTTCAGACAATGGCTATTAAATACTAATCTTATTATTTGCAAAATGTTAAATTGTAAAATTATAGCGAGAGTTCGGATATGAGACGTCATAGCTTTATATCAATTTCATCTTCTAGAATAGCTTGACCAATACTGTGTCCAACTGACCAGCACTATTTATACAGACAGCATAAGAAACTTGTGACCCCGCGGGGCGTCGGTTTTGCGACAGTTTGCGTAAAAACGTTTAGAAAACCATTTTGCTAATATTTATGTCGCTTATTGACTGTCACGAGATCATTAGAGAAAATTGGATAGTTGCATTTACGCACAGACAGACGGACGTTTTGAAAAAAAACACTTTCGGTACCAGGTGATCCCAAAACGCGTATTTCCTTTAAAATCTCGAAATCGATTTTCCACAGCATTATGGTGTAAATAATATTTGGGAACATAACTAGTGACATTACGCTTACCAAAAGAAAGTAATATTTAGAGCGTTTGGAGCTATGCAAGAAAAAAACCTTTTTCCTAATAATATCAACACAAATAAGTAGAATGATTAAATTGCAATTACCAGGTTTAGATTATCATCCAGG